GTCACGGTAGCAATGAGTCTTGCTGCCCTGCTACACCCTCCCGTGCTGAATCCAGCCCACTGGGCCACAGAGGCTCATGCCGGTTCAGCCAGACTGCAGCCCTGTGTCCGCTATGAGTGCACAAATCTGGGGGAGCACATCCCTCGCCATGTCCCACACCCCCCTCCCCACACACCTACCCCCGGCCCCACACGTTGGGGTGCTAGGGCCTGGGGTTGGTGGGCAGTGGGCTGGGAGTGATGGGTACTAGTGGGGTGAAGGGGTATGGGTTGGGAGTGAGGGGCACTGGCAGGGCCAGGGGGCTGTTTTCTATTTAAACTATTTACTGGGTCAGGGGTCAGGACTGACCATTGATGTTGCACATGGGTCCTGGTACAAAAAAGATTGAGAACCACTGCACTAGAGAGCTACTGACGCATTTCCTGGGCACTTTGGGGAGCTGTTGACAGCCTGTCCTCTCCCCTGCCTGGGAAGGGGCAGGCTGTCAAGTGGCAAGTGCCAACTGCAGACCAGCTGAACTGTGGGATGGCAATTTAAAGGCCCATGGTGCTCCTGGCCTCTGGCTTTTAAATCACTGCTCTGCCACTCAGCTGCATGATGGGGCGGCAAGGGGAAGCTGGCAGAAGGCAGCAAAGTCCCTCACCTTTTCCCCAAACCAGGGACTGCCCAGGAAAAGAGACAGGGAATGAAGGCTGCTGCTCCTGTCACCACCCAGTTTATGGGAGCAGGGAGCAGCTGCCCCCTACACCTTCTCAAGACTAGTATGACCCAAGTCTTGGAAAGGCAGACAGCCTTTCTCCTGGCTCCACTCCCCCTTGTCTCCAGGGGGTAAATGTGTAAGGGACCAGGGTGTAGGTGGTCTGGCGTAATGGTCAGACCACTGGGGGAAAGCAGGGGCCTAGAGCTGACTCAGAGAGTAGGAGCCATATTACAAAAATCAGAGGGTCTACAACAGTCCAGGGTCAGGATCTGGGGGTCAGATGCCAAGTACCAATCCAAAGGGTAATCCACAAGGTAAAATCTGAAAACAAAGCCAAGCTGGGATCAGGAGCCAGAAACAGATCTGCAGGAACATCCAAAGCCAAAATCCAGAAATAAGTCAAAAACCAGAGTCAGGAACCAGAATGCAGGAACAAGGAGGCTTGCCATAGCAGAACTGTTTACTGGCCTGCAAACCCAAGGCCCCAGCTGGTGTTAAATGGATAGGCAGCACTCCCAGCGGCCAATTGAGATGCTCACTGCTCCTGAACTGGGGCAGATTTCTTTAACTGAGGCTTAACTGTAGATGTGCCTGCTGAGGTAGTTGGGTCAGGGTGGCCTGCCTGCTCAGAGTCCCTGACAGTACTTGGGCCCAGGCTGATCTGCCTGATCAGAGTAACTGAGAAAGGCAAGGGAAAGCATGCAGACATTCAGTCTCCCAGGAGAACCTCTCCTGGGAGGGATTTCACCCTGGTTGTGGCTGTTATTTTTCTCCTGGAGCAGCCAGATTTGCTATCGGGATAAAAAGCCTGAATGTCCGCACACTTTTGGTTTCTACCAGGAGAATGGTAATTCTCCTGGTGGAAACTGAAAGTCTGTACATAGACTCTGTACATTACACTAGAATTCAGCAACAGCTACTTAGGGTTGCCATTGTCTCTTACTGTGCAGATGTGCAAAACCTAGCATAGTGGGGCCTTGATGTCCACTGGAGCCTCTGGCTACAACTGTAATATAAATATTAAAAAATACTGACACAAGGCCAGGGAACAAAATCAAAATCAAAGCCATTTTATAGTATTAAAATTCAAGCTTTTAATAGGTCATCTAACTCAGCTGCCTTGTAATCTGCAGAAATAGTCATAAGGAGGAACTAAGACTGCCTTAAACTATTCCCTAAAGATTTAAGCAATATACAGCAGTGCATGTACCTACTGCAGAGAGTGGCAAACTCCATCACGGGCAAAAGTAGATGAAGCAGCACATCAAATAAAGGACAAGAAACTGACTGAAAGCAGGACAAGAAGCTGACTGAGGGGGTAAAATACAGATGTGATAAAGGTGCTTACACCTGATAAATCCTGATACAGCATGTTTGTAACTGAAAATGTCATTTTAAACCATGTTACAAGCTTCTTTACAGCTGACTATTCCTGAGAAATTTATTGCGGGGGAAGTAAGGGGAAAAAACAGGACCTCATTTATTTAACTAACTCTTGGAGATTATTTTCCCCTCTAGTGTTCTTGGCTGACAGATGTCTGCTTGGTTCAGTGTGCAAGAGGGGACAGAAAAAACAGTACAAGCTGCATCATCTTTGAAATAAACAAATTTCTGATTGGACTGGAACTTGTGCAGGAGAGACAGCTACAGATAGAAGCCAATGTCTTAAAGCCTGAGGACGATACAAACTGTTCAGTATCTTCAATCGAAGAAGATTTCCTCACAGCATCAGAGCACCTTGAAGATGAGAATGAGACTGAGGAATATAAAAATGGTAAATGCAATGCAATTTTCCACTGTTCTGTTACTGTCCATACTGCAAAAAACATCAAGGTAATGCTCACATAAATTGCACCTGGGGTTATTTTCATGCATCCATGTAATTGCAGTTTAGAAGAAGGATTATCAAAAAAATAAAAATAATTTACACTTTTTAAAATCATTGCTCAAGAGATAGGGTAGACAGTGTCTGTGCAGCAGTCATGCAGTCCAAATCACTCTAGTGCAACTGCATTTTAGAAAGTGACAGCTGGTTGTCTACTAATAAAAACTAATTATTGGGGTTTTTTTCCCTAGGCCATGAAAAACTAAATGTCACAGAACTTGTGTCAGATCCCAGGAAGCATAAAGGAAAAGGACCTGAGAATCTTCATTATAGGAAGGCCAGATTGCCATTTACTCTCGATAAGAATTGTGTTGATACAGAAAATGTGGCTTCTGCTAAAAACTTAGGGAATTCAGAAGCAGCAGTGAATGTTGTGGCTGAAGACCACCTTTTACAAAGTGGGGATAAGTTAATCCAGCAACTACACTGGAAGAATGATTTAGCTGGAAGAGCTAGCTCCTCCCACAGTACTAAGAGCGTAGAAGATTCTTTAACAGGTGAGGTTGAAAATACTCGCCCAGTGTGCACCTCTGAAGATGCATCTCTAACCATAATGGCCAAGGAGGAACTGACTTCTCTGCACGACATAGTATCAGAACAAAACAGTAAAGTAAATGCAGAGGACATTACATGTGAAAGGAAACCTCACTCTCCCTTGCGAAATGAGCAAGCAACTACAGGACAGTATGCTACAAATTTAGCAGAATCTGTTTTACAAGATGCGTTTATTAGATTGTCCCAATCTCAACCCACTTTTATGGAGGAGGCTGCTGTTAGCATCTCCATTGGAAATTCCTTAAATTCAGCCACTTGTACAAATGAAGATGTAACAACATCCCGATCATGGAATGAACTTCCAAAAATTGTCATTGTACAAAGTCCAGACAGTTATGAAAATACATCAGAATGGCCTGGTTCTGGTTTTCCAAATCTATGCCATTGGTCTGAATCAGAAAATTCTGAAGTCTCAGATTACTTGGAGGAGGACAGTTCCAATGGGAACAGCCAGGGTGCACTGGAAGTGGCTTTAGCTTGTGCAGCTACAGTGATTGGAACCATTTCAACCCCCAAGGCTGCAGAGAGATTCAAAAGAGAACAAGAAAGCACAGATTCTCAGGGCGAAATAGTTGATAATGAAGAGCTGCAGACAAAATCTTCACAAGGGCTTGATGGCTGTGCAGATCTGGAATATTCATTTCCATCTGCTCTCTGCGGCATGACTCAAGTAGCAAGTGCTGTAGCAGTCTGTGGTTTAAGTGAAACAAAGGAAGATAAGTACCCTGTAACTTCAAGTGGACTCTTGTCTGCAGCTGAGGCCTCTGCAGCTATTACACTCCATTGTAGCATAGCCATAGGAAGCAGCATGGAGAAGCTGAATGATAGCATTGCAGAGGCACTCCTCAAAGAGGCATCCATAATTTTAACAAAGCCCAATACATACAAAAATATAGGAGACTTTATGGAATCCATCAATGGGAGAATTATAGAAACTGCCACAAGCCCGCAGATTTCACGTGTGGATGAAATGATGAGTGACGAGCTTGCACAAAACTTATCCAACATCATTCTGAGGCATTCTGTCGAGGAAGTTAAAAAGAAGAGGCAGCTACACCCTAGACCAGATAGTAAATCAAATGCATATGACATTTTTATGGAAACTGCAAATGAACTGCTTTTTAATGTGATATATTTCACATGCAAGAAGATGAGCGATATTGCACAGGTTGATGAGTGTTCACTTCTCTTTTCTGAGGATTCAAGTAGAGAAAAAGATACAGAAACAAAAAGCCGACAGACAACAGCTAATCAAGCATCACAGAAATCTCCAGATCACTCTAACCGCTACCCGCTTAGTACCCCTTACAGTGCTACTGCTGATAGAGACAATAGTAACATACCAAATACGAGAGTTAGTGAGAGTGAAATAGTGGCAAATAGCATGAAAAGTGCTACACTACAGTCAGACCTGCCAGGTAGAATCCGTGGGCAAAATTCGCTGGTTGCAAGAACATCCCCCAAAAAAAGATATCTGAAAAGAACCACAAGAGATTGCTACAAATCCCCAAATCCGAGTAACAACCAAAAGAAAAAAGATCTCAGATCTTTTTCAGACAGAGATAACACACTTAGAGCCAATGAATGCAGACACGGTGTTCAAGAACAGCTATTTTCTGATGCCATTGTGAATAGAGAAAGTCAGGATAAAGTTAAGTACGACGACGTGCTGAACAATGAAGTCCAAGTTAATGTGTCTTTATTAGGTAACCATATCTTGCTTCCTTCGCAGTCCATGCTACAGGTAAAACAGTCAAGGGATAAATACTGCATAACAGATTTTGCAGAAGAATTGGCAGAAACGGTGGTCTCTATGGCAACGGAAATAGCTGCCATTTGCCTTGAAAATTCAAATGGCAAGCAACCCTGGTTCTGTGCATGGAAAAGAGGAAATGAGTATCTGGTGACCCAAAGTTTATCATGCAGAACCATAAAAAGAAAGAAGGATACTCAGCCTAATGGCTCAGTTGTTAGGAAGCACAGGCCACCTAGGCTTAGTGAGATCAAAAGAAAAACAGATGAGCACCCTGAGCTAAAGGAAAGACTGATGAACAGGGTAGTGGATGAATCTATAAACCTTGAAGACACCCCAGATTCTGTCAATATCTTTGCAAATGAAGTGGCTGCTAAAATTATGAATTTAACTGAATTGTCCATGGTTGATAATGTCTGGCAGGGTCCAAATCATCCCAGGAACAGACTTTACTGTGAAAGGTGGAGCAGAGGTAAGGCCTCAAGCTGTGAGAGCATACCAGAGGAGGATTCAGACTCCAAGAGCTTTTTGAATATGCTGGGCCCAGTGAATACTTTAGGCCAGCCAGTGAGTCAGACCAGCTCTGTCTCCAAGCAGTCTAGCTGTGAAAGCATTACAGATGAATTTTCAAGATTTATGGTAAATCAGATGGAAAATGAAGGAAGAGGGTTTGATTTGTTACTGGACTACTATGCAGGGAAAAATGCAAACAACATCTTAACTTCTGCCTTGCAACAGGTAGCCAGGAAAAACGGCCACCTCAACGTAAGGCCTACTTGCCCATCCAAGCAGTCTAGCACAGAAAGCATAACAGAAGAATTTTATAGGTACATGCTAAGAGAACTTGAAAAGGAAAATAAAGATAATTTATCTTCCACCAGGAGTTCAAGAGACTGGAGTAGCAGTCTGCTACCACCTCCTCTGCGAACACCATTTTGTTTTAGACAATCTTCTGTGCCAGACAGCAGATCATCAGGGTCCAGGCTAACAGTGAATGCCCCAGTCAAGGCAAACTCTTTAGATGGCTTTGCCCACAGCAGTCACTTGGATTCCTTAAGCATACAAGTCAGTACTGCATCTTCTTCAGGTCTTTGCAAGTCAGATTCATGCCTATACCAAAGATGTAGGACTGACCAGATAACTGACATGTTAATTCATGAGACGTGGGCAAGCTCAATTGAATCACTAATGCGTAAGAACAAAATTATAGTGGACGATACAGAGGTTACAGATCCTGATCAGTTTTCCAGTGATTCCCCACCGCATGTAGAACAGTATGCAAATAGACTGGCTGCAAATATTGTCAAAAGTGGGAAAACTTTAATTGCTGTCCATCAAGATTCATTTGAACATACAAGCAGAGAACATGTCACAGAAAACAGACATCTCCCAAGTGTAACACAAGGTCACTCAAAACCACCAAGGGACAGAATACATTTAGATGGGAAAAAAGAACATATTACAAACCCTGGATCCCCTGCTTTAAGCCACATAAGCTCCTTTCCTTGCCCAAGGGATGTCCCTTTGATTCAGATAGAAATTGATCAAAGAGAAGACCTGGATAAAGACCCAGAGCCATTAACTTCTAGTAGCATCCCCTGTGGAAAAGCTAAACAACATGCCAACAAAGAAAAGCCTCCAGAAGCATCTTCTGGGAAGCATGTGGTTTCAGGCTGCTTAATGAATAGCAGGTGAGTGACAGAACAAGTTAACGCTTTGCTTTCTTTTTAACTCTAACAGTAAAAATCAGCTTCTAGTGAAAGAATCCTACCTTTTCCAATTTAAGAATACCTCTGGGTCAGACCAACGGTATGCATACATGTTGGGTCAGACCAACAGTACATCCAGCCCAGTATTCTCAGTCCGACAGAGGCAGAAGTAGATCTAGGCAGGGAGACCATTGCACTGGATATCTCTAGAATAATCTATCCCTGGCATCCACCATTATTGGTTTGGAAATGTCAGCGGAAACATCTCCAACCATACTGTTCAATAGCCATTAATAGGTCTATCATCCATGAATTTATTGAGTCCCTTTTTGAACCTGGCTATGCTGTCTACCTCCACCAGCTCCTGTGGCAATGAATTCCATAAGTTAACTATGCATTAATCTGTTCAGGATAAAGTGTTATTACAACATCCTAGAGAAACAAACAAACGAAAACCTACAGCACAGTGCTAACATTGTTCGCTTTAGAATGGCATGATTTTTCCTTTAGCATGGGCAATGCCTACTAGTTGAATGTCTATACACATCCATGTTTTAGCACACCCCATCCTACTGCAACTGCACTCTCTTTAGAACCCTACCTCTGCCACTTTCTCCATTTAGAAAAAAAGTCCTGCTGCATTATGGGGCAATGTTTATAGCAGTGGTCACTCACTCTCCCTCGAAGTATTATCTATTTTAGCCAGGTTTCTTCTGCAACCTAACTTCTTGACTAGTAGCTGAAATGGCAGTCACTGTCATATGGAAGCATCATAGTATCTTAGGTTATCATTGCTAATGGTAGAAACTATTGGATTAAATACTTGCTTTCCCCCCCCCCACAAATAAACGGCTGTGTTTTGGCTCCTAGGCAGAGCTCTATATTGAAGTGGAAAAGCATGTGCACACCCCTGTTATGTGGATAATTAGCATACTGCCTCTGCTCTATCATGCTGACTCCTACTAACAGTGACTCTTGCTTCAAGCACAGCCAGCTTGTAATAGGATTCATTAAGAAACCAATCTGGCTGGAATCATGGCTTTCTGCCTCTCAGTAACTTAGGAAACTTTTGGATAATGGCTTTTTCTTCTGCTCTAAGACAAATATGCAGTGTTTTCTTAGTGCCTTTAGTGAACAGTTCTCAATGTGCTTATGTGAAATTTACAGAAAAGGTGCTTGTGGAGTAGATATACTCCTAGATTGATATACAGATCTGCCATGCAAAGCACTGAGCATGCACTTCCATGTTCTCAAGAGATACAGACTGTTGCAGGCTTTGAAAAAACAGCAAAGTGCAACATTCATTCAAGTCTACTTGTTTAAAAGCCCGAGAAGAAAAGCGGTATTATTTCACTAGCTCTCAATACCTAAGGTAACTCTTTCTAAAAGAGTTGTTTCATGTTTTGTTAGTTCATGCAACAGGTGAAGAAAAATACTCAGGGTGGGGGGAAATGTAGCACGTCTGAGTAGCTGTAAAGGAAGCGTGCAGGTAACACACGACACCTGATCCTGTCACTCTCCACACACCCAGAACTCCCTGCAATTCCAAAGGGGTTTCCACATGCAGCAAAACTGTAGGATCAATGAGGAAAGAATTATCTTTTAGTATGAAATTTTTATGTTGTAGTTTCCAGTTGCTTAACTAGAAAAGACACTCATCAATAGGAAAATCAGAGCTAAATATTAGATGTGGCTGACATGGTAATAAAGGATATGTGTTACTACTGTGTCCTCTCTCCCTGTTCAGCAAGCAGGCTGAATGCTGTTTTAGGATGACTGGGTATAGGTAGAGGTGGTCAAAAGTTTTATGTCTACACAACATAACGCCATAGGGCATCTTTACATGTGCTCGGGGTGGGAGGGGGTGTTAACTAGAGCAGGTCTTAGGAGCTCTAATTAAAATGCCTGCAATGTCTTGTGTATTCAGCATCTCACACTTCAAAATGGCGGCAGGGGTGCTTTAACTAAAGGTCAATCAATGAGCTTTACTTAAAACACCCCCCACCACCATTTTGATGTATGGGATGCGGAATACATGAAACGCAAAGGCTGCTGGAGCGTTCTAATTAGAGCGCTATTTAGATTAATCGGGTCTGCTCTGGCATATTGTAATTAGCATGTGTCAGAGAAGGCATCAGGCATGTGTATGGGTGCCCATAAGTATGAACCTGGTTGGTGAACCAAGCAAATGAGGTAGGTTTTGTTCTTTGCAGTCCACTGCACTTGCTGACTCTCAGCTTCATCTCCAGCATTGGCACAGGAACTTCTCAGAAGCTGTCCTAAGTGAGGTAGCAAGGCAGGAGCAGATGTCAGTAATGGTGTTTCATTCTATCCCAAGCCAAATTAATCTCTTCCAGGGTAGTGAAACTTTTGAGTGATCTTTCACCCTCAGTATAAGGGGCCACAAGGCTAGGCATCTTATCCAAATCTATTGGTTACACTCTGGAAAAGTGGTAGCATAGCAGTAGTCGAGCAATTATCAACCAAGGTGCCAGGGCTCAGGCTTGTACTTGCCTCTGAGCAGTCCTCTATACCCACTGCCCAGTTCCTCTTCAAGGAGATAAGCACTGTAATATATACGTTAGTTTTGAAATTGGGTATCACTTAATTCACAAAAGTTATAGAGTGCCTTGAGTCCGGTGAGGGGTGCCTGGAGTCCAAAAAAGGTTGAGAACCACTGCATTAGACAAAGTGAGGGGAAAGACGGAGCACTGGGCTAGAAAATGAAAAGAGGCAGCAGTTAGAATGTACCTGGAGTTCAATTTAGTTACACCTCAGTTCCGTTCCTGAAGCCATTGTGTTAGTTTTTTTTCTAATCAGCAACACCTATACAACCACATACTCTTTTATTAGAGTTACACAGGTGCAAGCAAAGACAAAATGTTTGCCCTATTAATCTAATGTGCATACTTTCTAAGGCATGTTAGCTATTCAGAACAGACAGGAGTTAAAGCAGCAACAGTTCGTGTGACTAAAGAACTTAAATATGATTCTGGATATACACAGGCATCCTATTGGAAAAGAAGGTGTTTCCTAGGCATGCTTCAGAGGTAGCTGTAACACAGTCCATGGTTGAATTTTCCCTTCACCTGCCTCTGTGCTTCATGCAATCAATCACTGTCCAAAAAAAGAGCTGGCTGGGTTTCCATGAGATTTGTTTATAAATAGGAAGTTAAGCACTTTGTGATCCTTCATTATGAAAGTTTTTGTTAATTTTATTGTACTAATTTCCTGTAAATAGAAACAATACTGCCCTGAAGGTTGAACATTATAGGGATTTGCGTGTGTTTTTGAAATGGCCAAGTTTTGTTCAAAAGTTGGGGACTGCACTACTGAGCAAAACTGTAGCTACATTTGGTTTATGTAACCAAGATGTTTTGTTTTAAACAATCCAGAACAATTTATGTTGGCAAACATATAAGAGAATTTTTGGGTAGTAGCAGTCAGTAGTTAGAACTCATAAGATGGCTTTGCACAATGCTTCTGCACTTTCAGTATCAGATAGGTTTAGGGATATGAATGTAAATATCAGATTAAAACATTCATTTTCCAATTAAAGGTCCCATAGAGCTATTTAAGATGAAATGGGATCCATATTTAACCTTAATTTTGATATAATTTCACACTGAAATATGTTAATATTGCTTTTTATCATACTAGTATTACTTTCCACAGATTTTTATTTGACCTAAATGTAGATTCAGTCTGTATCTGCGTTGTACACTTTGTTGTTTAAAAAAGGATTTTTTTAAAGTTAATGTATAAAAAGTGGTACTTTTTTAGTTTCAGAAATTTTTAAAATTCTGAAAATAATGAAAAAAATTAATATTTATACAGTGCTTTGAAAGTATAACATTCTATATTGTATAAGTACTAAGATTTATTCAAAGGAAAGTAAGGGCATTCAGAGTATATCTCGGGCAATGCATAGTGTAAATTTCATCCACTTTCTTCTCTAGCCAGACAAGCACATATTTGCACATGTGAATTTAAATAGCTAATTTATGATTAGAGAATTTCATCATGCTGTAATACAGTACCACATATTCTGTAATATGGCAGTTCCTTCTACATGGCTAGGAACAGACATTGCATTTGTCCCTCAACAAGTTGTGCTTGTATTTATCTCAGAACAGAAATATCCCGAAATGGGTGTGTACACCCACCATCCTTTTAATCAGGGTTTAGTGAGTGGCAGAATGCATAGCCATTTTTCTGCCATGGGTTCAGTAATGCAATCTTGGGATAATGATTCAGATGCACTTTGCAGTGTCTCAGGCTAAACTGTTAGTACTTCTTATTCCAGGAACATTTTAGAATTTATCTCAGGACAATGGACACAGATGTCTGAGGGTAAAAATAGACATCAGATTTATCCCAGGAAAAAGCCTTTTATCCTGGGATCCTGCAGATGTACAAATCCATATTTCCACTTCAAGTACCTGTGAAATATCCAAGATAACTCTTTTTCCTGGAATAATTGTGGCCAAATCAAGTTAATTGTCATTCATTCCAGAGACAAACTGCATGTGTAAAGGGCTATGCCAGTCCTAGGTTTTGATTGGGATTAATCAGAACTGAATCAAATGCAACATTTGTTTTTAACCTGAATGATTATATTTCATCCTGGAATAAAATGGTTTATCCCGAGACAAATGTGACTTTGATTTGTAGCCTAAACAAAATCTTCCGGAGAAATATTATTCCCAACAAATTGGAAGACCCAGTTTGTTTTGTGTTTGTATTTACAGGAATAGTAAAAGGACTTTTTAAATGGAATGTTATTCCATATTTTTAGCTTCATTTTGTGCACAAGCTGAGGGCTTGACTCTGATCTCCCACGAGTTTGCACTGCTGTGATTCAGCACTCTATGAGGAACATAACCTGAATCTACACTGATGTGAGGATAAAACAGTGTTGTACAGGTATCCCACCATAGACAACTGCAAATCTGAATCTGCCTGAAATACCTTCCTGCTCTGGCTTTTTTGAAAATCAAGAACAATAAGACACAGCTCAACATTATCTGAAAATTAGAAATTCTAGCTTAGGTTTGCTTGTGTTATATACTTAACATCTCAGTAATGCCTTGCTTTTTAACCTTGCCAGCATTAGTATTAGGAATGGAACAGATGCTGAAACTGTGGTGGAAACAAAAACAGCTGAAGAATTCCCAAACCCTCTCAGCAGCAGTGATGAAAGCATGGGCAGCTGGTCTCAGCTAGTGAATGATGAGGATAATCCTGATGATACAAGTAGCTACTTACAACTCAGTGAGAGATCCCTGAGGTACCTAATTTCTGTCAGTGTTTGATGTACAGTAGGAGCTAACCACCAAGTTAAAGGTTTGAATATGCAAAGCACAGACTCAAGGTGTAGTTGAAATGTTCCAAAAATGGATAGGCTGCAGGATGTTGGGGTTTTTTGTTTCTGGTTTTTCTTTTTGCATTATATATCACTCTTATTAACCATGACATTGTACCCATTAGTAGTTGGAATCATACAAAGAAGCAACTACTCAATCCCAAGCAACTTCCTGATAACCATTATAGTGAAAGGGCCATCAGACAAGCTAATTACTGCACACCTTGAAGTGATTTATCTGTTGCTGTTTGCCACCATCTGCTGGGGTCATTTGACATTCTATGATGTAGTCTAGAGCTTCTGATTGGGATGAGCACAAAATTGAAAATTATGGCTAGATTGTGACTAGTCCTGCATAAGAGACAAGAAGTTTTTCTATTCTGCAGAATGCTTGAGTAGGAGACTGCTTTGCGGGACACAGACTTAGTGAAATAGATTTATACAATCTGCCTAACCTTAGCCATTTAAAGATTTCCTATTGGCAGGATTTTTTCACAGACTCTTGAGATCAAGTTTAAAATGTTGCCAATCAGTCATGTCAGTCTCCTAAGCCCTGTAGAAGACATGAGAAACACACTGCATTGTAATGAGAAAAGGAAGAGAATGCATGAAAGTTGTATGGCATTGTTGGTTAACTGAACACTTGAGCATAGCTGTGTATATTAGTCTGGGTGAATGTTCATCTCATCATGTATGCAGTGGCAGCTATTAGTAGATTCTTCAGCGTGGGCGATCTAATATATTGTGCCTCATGGCTCTTTGCACTAAAAAATCAATATAGCAAGCCACAATGCACCGAGCATTGACACACTGACTTTGTAAAACTTGATGGAGAGGTACTATGTTTTTCTCACAGCAAAGTGAGCAACTGTAATGTTAGTAGCCTTAGTTAAAATAGAGTAGTTCAATTGCATACAGATCACAAGTGTAAAAGTGTAATACACACTAGGTTCAGTAAATAAATCACATATTGGTCATATAGTTGTGTCAATCATATATACTCTATTGTGTGATTCATGGCAGTGTCATAAGGTGAACAGGTATTATTATTCCAGACAAGCTGAGAGTAAGAATTTAATTCTTGCAGCGTAGCCAGAGAGAACTTCTAAATGCTATTGCCCTTGATGAAAACAGCAGCTTTAGTTGAAATCTCTGTCTTTCATACTGGCCAGGAAGGTAAGAGGTTACCATTGTATCTCTAGGTTCCATCAGATTTTCTGCAGTATTCAGATGGTTTGATTACTACACTGAAACAGTCGCTTATAGTATGGGCATGGCTTCCCCAGCAGGTAAACAGTAAGACAGGTAGTCACATATCTTGCCTTAAAACACCACGTTCAGCGGTATCTGAATCTCTGCAGGTGTGTCAAAGACATCTCTAACCACTTGCTAGTCATCTTGTACAAGAACTCATGCAGGTTTTTTTTCCTATTAAAGGCTAGGAGTTGGATTGAAATTCACATATCACTGCATAAACTATTAACAAAAAACCTGAGTCCATCTTTTTTTTTCATATCACAGCATCAGTAGATGCATGACTCATCCAGGAGTAATTTAAGAAAAGTCTCATATTATTTTAAACATGTCAGTGCCCTTTTTCTTGGGAATCATTTGTTGAGCATGATTGGAGTTGCATGCCCTGATTTTGTAGAATCTGGGGTCAAAGCTGTAGCTCTGAATTCTGGGGGGAGGAGCCCATTGACTTCTCCTTGCATATTAGAAAATGTATGGACACATGTAGGGGTGGAGGTTGACACTGATATTTAAACTTTTGCTTTGTCAGCAATGGCAACAGCAGTACAACTAGCAGTCTTGGCATTATGGACCTGGAAATTTATCAGGAAAACATGCCATCTTCTCCCATGATTAAGTAAGTAGCTACGAAAATGAAGTCTGGTATTTAGAAGTACTATTCTAATGTCAGCTGAAAATAATTTATATCATACAGAATGTGCCAAACCTGTAATAACTGTGCTTCTAACCTGCTGCCTCAGCAGTTGTTAATCTTCGATAAATGTACATGCAGATAGCTTACTGCAGACTGGCCATATCAGCCTATAGTAAAGCTGTTCCATGTGGATGTCTCAAGGAGCTACATCGCCACCATGTGCTTTGCTTAAAGGTGAAACTGAGATATCCACTTCCCTTGGGTGGGCACTCCTCGCTAGGAAACTTTGCAACTATTACTCAGGGCTTATTGTAACAGTTGTAAGATTAAGTACAATAGAGCCAATTTAAGTTGAAGAAAGAGAAACACCAAGCTTCTTTTTAAAAAAAAGTGATCATTTGGCCCAAGATACTCCTTGTCTGCCGTCTCTGGGCATGTTTCTACCAACCTTGCTCAATAGGAATAAAATGAGAGAGAGATGTGCAAGTACCTGCCTAAAGATTCTGGTACCCTGAAACATGGTATGACCTGCTAGTAGATGGTGTGATGCAGTAACACCTGTGGAAGTAAGTATACTGTATATCATTCAGAAAACATGGTACAGTGTGAAGTCACTGTGACCACCTCCCCACAACCCTGACCCCCAACATTTCTAACAACCCATTAATGGTTTGTAGCCTATCTTCATCTCAGGGACACCATCCTGCAGCCGTAGCTTCTCTTGCTATCAGAAATTGTAACTTTTTTGATAAACACACTGGACAGTAATATTTCTGTAAAGTCATAAATATTTTGTTGCAGCTGTGATTGCTAGCCTTAGTAAAACATGTACTCCATTCCCTCAACACCATGGAGTGCTGGCTGCTGCATGCAGACACTTCAACCCAACATCTCTCAGAGTCCAGATGATCAGGGCTCCCAGCCAGGGAGCTCATGGTGTGTTTCCCCAACAGCCAAGCTTGTTACCTGTCAGTCCCAGGATCTCCCTGCACCAGCCATATAGCAGAATGGGATCCGATGCAAGAACCCATAGTTATGCCTTCAGATTCCATCATGCCATTTACAGACTGTAGGGGCCCAAAGGGCAGATAATACTGTTCTTCCATAATAGCAGCCAAAGTCTCCAATGTTTAACTCTCCTTGATTGATGAGACAAATGGAAGCTTATGTAGTGAGTGGTTGCTAAACCTCTAGGAATACTAGAAAAATCAGTAGCATCATTACCAGATTGACAGCCTTCTGCAGTATGTAGATGTGCATGGCCTTCTCAGAAAAGGAGGGCAGGAAAAAGCAGATCTCTGACACTGTACTGGAGTTTGTCTGCTATAATGCAACATACAAAGTATAGATTGCTTGAGATTTTTGGATGATTTTAATATAATCCAGTTATCGGAACAGAACTAAAATCCTAGAAGGTAGCAGCTGGAGGTACTAATGCATTATTATTACATCCAACTATGACAGACAGAGAGAGTACAGGAAAGCAATTACAGCAGAATGCGACATCGAAAGGTACACATGTAGAAAGTACAGTACTTCACCAAATCACAGGGCTTGCAGTTTCCCATCAAGATAACACAACTATCAACCATAAAGATATACTGTCAAACTTAAAGAAGGGTGATGTAGATTATACACTGCAAACAGTTCACTGTACTCTTGTAGTAGTATTGTGTAGTGTCCAGAGCCCTGATGAAACTGTTGTGAGATACAGTACCCTGCTGTATCTTTTCCATTTATATATTTTATCATCTTTGTAATATTATGGATTCAAATTGTGCATTATAAGATAAATATGCCACCTCACCTTGCATGAAACTATACTTTTACTGTTCCAAAATATTACTAACAGGTTTTCTTGTTTTTTCCCCTGAAGTGAATTAATAGAAGAAAAAATGTTCCTTAAAGAACAGCCAGAGAACACAGAGGGTAAGCTGAACTGTTTCAACTGTAGCACTGGCATCTGACTTGCCACAGAGTATTTGAGGTTAATAAAAGTAATGCTATCATGACTGTGTTTCAGAAAGCACCTCTGGGCTGTCAGTGGGGACATCCAATTGTCAAAAGGATCTGTTAGTGATCAACTTTGATCTGGAGCCAGAGTACCCTGATGCAGAGCTCAGAGCAACACTTCAGTGGATAGCTGCCTCTGAACTTGGAATCCCAACCATCTACTTCAAGAAATCTCAGGAAAATAGGATTGAAAAGGTAGTATTTTTGTTTCCTGGGCATGGACATCAGTGTTTTTTAAGCTCAAAAGCTTTTAAACAAATTTGATTGTATTGAAGTCACTGAAATGGTCTTAAGAGTAGATTTAATGGCAACAGATCTTTGTTAGAATAGTTGTAGCGCTGCTGTCTACCAGAGATGAGTTGAGATTATTTAAATGCCCCATTAGTTTGAGTGCACACCAGCAGCTGCACAAATGAATAATCACCAATTTAAATCACACTACTTCAAAAATATCAAATATTATCCAGCAATTAGAATGCACATCCTGATGTCAGCCATATCAGGGACAGCTGCTTAAATTCAGACACTATTAGTCAAAAAAAGCTTAACAAAGGGGGTAGTGTCAAATGTTATGTGGAGTTTAACAAATTGGTGATTGATCACTCCAGTATACAAACAAAGTCTTACTTACTGCTTAGGGCCCACTTAAACCTGTTTAGCAGAACCTCAACCCCTCTGATGTTAATGACAGCAGGAGCAGAATTTGACATGGGCCTGTTCTGGCCTCCTCTCTCTGCTTCAGCCCCCAATACAAGTTAGAAATCTCACTTGTTTGAGTTTGCTGTGCTGCCCAAAGATTCCTATACCTGAGAATAGCTGGAACACAGTGTTGCCCTGAACAGGCCATGGCAGCTCTAACACACAAAGATTTTTACTGTGGCCAGATGTATTGACTTCAGACTATCCTTGGGCTGGTGGAATTGGTATACAGGGCTCCAGTGTACTGAAGAATTTGACCCACCATGCTCAAATATGTAGGGAAGTGTTCTGTGAAGATTCAGTGTGACCCTTATATTGCTTATGTTGCAAAATAAACTATGCTAATATATCTGTTAACTTATTATCAGCAGGCTGTCCACCAGGGCACCCGAGTTAAAACTTAAAGTCACCACTGTATTACTAGAGTCAGCATTTCCAACTGAACCAGTTTTGCAATGGCAAATCTGTCACTTCAGAAATGAGGCTTACTGAAGGGTTCTGTGAAGTCCCATGGACATCGGGAATTCCTGCCAAACGGAATAACAAAATGGTGGTAGGGCATGTAGAACTGGGCCCTTTACTACTAATCAAACCTTACATACCACCGTACTACCCACTGTCTTGAAAGCATAGCTCCAATGGAGAAGCATGCAGATTTCAAAGACCTTTTAAATGCATCTGTAATGTTATTTCAAGCCACCAAATCACTGAGATCAACACAGAAGCCCCAAATGCCCTCAAAAGCTGTAGCCCCTCAGATACAGTGGGGCTGTTCCTTATACTAAAGGGTTGGAGCGGCTCACAGATTGCCATTTCACACTGTCCATTTTCCATGGAGCGTGACAAACTCCATGAAAGTGTTAGAGTATTTAAATATATTAATGAAGAAAAATTATTGACTTCAATATTTTGGACTTTTAAAATAATTTCTATAAGTAGATCATTTTATGTAGCAGAGATATTGTTTGGTATTTCTTGAGTACATGCATTTGGGAATCATAAACATAATTTAAAATGCATTCAGCAGCAACTGTCCAAATTGCATCTTATTAAAAAGCAGCTGTCAGCTTTACCCATCTGCTTTTGCGAACAGTTAATTCAATTGCTAAAATGCACTAAAGAATAATGAAGCATATCCTGACTACAATGCTGCTTCTGGAGATTGCACAACTATTAAATAGTATTAAAATACATATTAAAAGTTTAGGGTGCAGCATAAAAATGGCAAACAGCTACCCTAGCTGCAGATATGCAATATTTTCTCGTGCGGTTTAAAACTGGAGGCTGTATACAGAGGAACCTAATTAGTTATTGATTGTGAAACTCAAGGAAATGAAAAGCTTTGATTTTCATTTCCAAGCCAAAGAAAGGATGGGACCAGATGCATGACATTATGAAGCCCATTATTAAGTACAAAAGTGGACACAATGTAGGATTTTCCAGCTGTTCAAGACTAAATGAAATGCAACATAACAAGACCAGTGATGATGGTAATGAACAAATATATTTTACTTCAAATATAAGCTCTTCATATTGGCACTCTCAATTCTCAACATTTACAATACCATTATTCTGACACTGAGTTACCAATATCAAAGATGGTTGCATTTCTTTCTCAGGCTTAAAGTTACATTGCAGGGACTAACTTGATTACACAGGAGTTACTATTGATTTAATTAGTGTCACTGAGATCACAATCTGGATCTTGTACATTATGTGGGTTCTTTGAATTGAAATGCAAAATTCAAGATAGCCAAATGAAAATGGATTTCAGATCTGTGTTTTATAAATAGATAGAATCAAAATTATTTCAATGCTATTTGTTAGGCACAGTGGGGCCATGATTTTATCATGCTGATAAACACTGCAGAATGGTTTGTGTGCATTTAATGAAAACTACTTAAGAAAACTCAACTGAACAAATCCCTAAGTATACCATTTTTATTTAGTTTCTAGATGTTGTGCAGTTAGTTCACCAGAAGTCCTGGAAAGTGGGTGATATCTTTCGTGCAGTGGTTCAATACTGCAAGCTACATGAGGAAAGCAGAGAATTAACACCAAGCCTCTTTGACTGGCTTCTTGAATTGGGATAAGGAACCTGTTAATGTTCAGCTTTTTCTTTTTAAGTCCCGCTTAAGTGGCTGTGGTTTGTGTAACGCTCTAATTTTCAGAAATCAGTACATAAAATGAGCACAAATATACAAACTCAACTAGCACAATACAGGTCCATTCCACAGGTGTATACTGAGCCAGGTGAAATCAAGGTGTACTTATACTGTTACATCATGTGAGGGACTTGAGACGTGTTGTGTTTTAGAGTGTACTGTACTAAGAAAAGAGGAATTTTGCCTTTTAAATGAATAAACTATAAAATGACTGGATGAAAACAAGACATATTTCTGTAATTGAATATTCTGTTAATATCCTTTGGTTAACTTAATCAACTGCAGTGGAATTATAGACTCAACGTTCATTTTTAAAACACTATCTGTACAGTTTAACTATTAGAATACTAGTGTTTTCCAGATGCTTAGGAGAATGTGTCTCTAGATACATAATATAGAAAGATAAATAATTATTTTTTAAAATCCCAGCAACCTACAAAAGGGGCAGAAAACTTGGAGGTCTTATATCTTTACAGGTAGATGATTTAAAAAAAAGATTTCTGTTTAATGCATTTAATTTTCTTCTGAGAGATGTTTATTTGCTTTCCAAGCTTTTCCATAATTGTTTTATTCTAAAGGAACTGAAATCTAGACACTCAAAATATTGCTCTTTAAAAACAGTCTGAGACCTTTTAATTTTATTCAGAGGCAGCACAGGCCAGTGGAGGAAGCACTGACTTGTGAATCAGGAGATCTAGGTTCTTTTCCCAGCTCTGCCCCGGACCTGCCATATGACCTTGGGAAATTTACTTCACCTCCGTGCCTCAGTTTCCTTAGCTATAAAAAGGGGGTACTAATAGTAACTTTCTTAGGTAAAGTGCTCTATGATCTTTAGAAAAAGCACTTATAAGAGCATATTATTTTATTTAAATTTTAATCTAACTTAAATAAATGGGTTATTAAGAAGAAAATCAGCCTGAAGAAACTAGACGGTGTTATCATAAATATACATTATGCATTTAGTTTTGTTTTTAGTATTTACAAGAATAAAGTATTATTGTTAAATACATGTATATTTACATTTGGATTGAAACTCATTTTGGATGTAAATGTTTGGATGAAACAGGATAGCTCATGTTATGAAAACATTTATATAACTATTTGATAAGATCTAACTACAATATCTTGCAGCTGAAATGATCAGTTAGTTTTATGCATTTAACTATACTCTCTCTCGAATCTGCCAAAGAGATTCATTTCGAATTCAAAGGAAAAAGAACTTATAGTAAAGAACTTCATATATATTGTGATTTACTTATTTGAAAAAACAACACATTTCATGTTTCCCTAAATAAAATACTATAAGAAATTCTGCTTGTATTTCCCTGAGAAAATATATAAGAGAACGTTTATTTTCCTTATCACAGTATATGCTTCCATAATATGTCCTGGGAAATTATCCTTTTGCACTAAGTATTTTTGAAGATTTTGAAATAGTTTTAAATAAATTTTAACAAAAGAGCCATAATATATTAGCATTAAATTCATTTCCACACTTGCATGTGCTTTCACTCATATGTTAAAGAAAAGATTGTCAGTGTATCAACATCTATATGCGATAAAAAGTTACATAGCTAACTTTGCATCTACTCTGCAGTACACACAGCACAGTAAAAGTCACTTTACTGTCAGTATAAAGGTGAGTTTACTACATACACTAAATGTGAATGGACAGCTTTTGGACCTGTTCCTGGCAAGTGCTAGATACCCACAACTCCTGCAGACATCAGTGGAAGTTATGGGTATTCAGTACCTCCAAGAAACTGAATGTTAATAAAAAAATTGCTGAGTATTCCAGACTGAAAGTACTTTGTTTGATCTAATAAATAGAAAAATGTATTTATTGTTAGATCAAATACCATTAGTTGTCAGTATGTAAACATTTTGCTGTGATAGAATAAATATTTACTTATCCTAAAAAGCACAAATAACTTGACTGAGTTGTAACAGTGTGATGAAGTTTCTTCTGTACAGTAGTTCTTATTGTCGCAAATTATTCAGAAATAAATTTATGTTACAACATGTGTCCTCTTTGCCTTCCTAAAAGTCACAAATGAGTTTTATTGCAAACTAACTGTATGATGCATTTTATTTGACCAATTACACAGCATTCATGATGGTCACTGGGTCCACATAAAGCTTCCTCTGTGGAATGAAATATTTGGCACAGAGCCTTTTACAACAAAAAGTCAGTTAGAGTTAGGGATGCTCACTTCATGGGGGTCAAGCTCCTAGCTTTATTTTTGTGCCTTTCTTTTCAAAGAAACTAATTACCTTTAGCTCACAATGACATGAGACTCTTTAGATTTGCAGTTGCTCAGCATCTTAGAACCCATTAATTATATCTATTTGTAGTTCTCTTTTTAAAACTCTAGGTAGGTGATTAGATTGTATCAGAAGCCAGAACAGGGTCAGACTTGTGGATATGTAATGCAAGAGAAATAAATGCCATAATTTCTTATAATGCCATAAGAAAGTGAATCAGCAATAAACCTGAATCCTTGCATTACATGAGAGGGCACTGTCCTGCTGCAGGAGGATGCCTTCTGGTGAAACACCAGGCAGTTCTGCCTACACTAAGGCTCTGCAGCAGTCTGAAACAGGGTCGACAGAACCCACTAACAGTATCTAAGGCAGGAGTGGGCCGGATCCAGCCCACCAACCCATTCTATTCAGCCCGTGGGGCCCTTAAAAAAATAAGAAAATTAATATTTATATGCCCCTGCTACCTGTCAAAGATGACACGAGCCAGGGACAGTAGGACCCAAGGGAAGCCGGTGGCAGAACTAAACAGCCGCAGCAGTCACTCAGTGCTTCTTTTGCCCTGCCTCCTGCAGCCATTTCCTCACCCCCCCCCATGCCAACCCACCCTGCTCCAGCATCACATGGTTCCCAGCTGCAGTGCCGGGAATGTGGTGCCAGAGCAGCTGTGGGGGGAGGAGAAGGGGATGACAGTGGGACAGGGAAGTGGCAAGAGAAGGGCAGCAGTGGCAGACGGGACAAATGGCAGCAAGCAGGAAGACGAGACCCTTACCAGTGCCCCAGGGCCAGGAGTGGCAGGAACGCAGAGGCCAGGCTTGCGGAAGCGCTGGTGAGGGCTCTGCCTGCCATGGGGGGGGAGAGAGAGGGGCAGACTATGGGCAAACCCTCCCTCTCCACACAAGCCACAACCCTCCCCCCAGCACATGCATAGTGCCCCACAAAATCCATACCCACTCACACATCCACACATACCCTCCACCCCCCACACAAATCACACACACACACCTTCCCACACACTCCACATACCCACAAACATATATCCACCCCCCATATCCCCCATACCCTCCCACAATACACAAGAGTAAGACTTCATTTTAAGATTTTATACTATCACCTCTATGTACACTATACAAACACATGTAAATCAGGACAAAAATATTTTTTGAAATTAATGAATGTTGCAGTAATGTTTGATTTTTAGTATATAATTTTGTATTTTTCTGGTTCAGAGATGGCAAAACCCCTTGCTGAAAGGAACAATTCTGGGGGGCAAGGGGAGGGATTTCTGGTGGCAAAGGTCAGGGGTTAGGGGGTGGGACTTCCGGTCCCAAGATTGCGACCAGGGGGTGAGACACCTTTCAAGGGGTGGGGCTACCCATGAGGCCCTCAATGGCTTGCCAAAACTCGGTAAGCAGCCCTCCACCCGAAATAATTGCCCACCCCTGATCTGAAGGCACTTTTACACATGCTTCAGGGGGGAGCAGCGCTTTAATTAGAGTGGCTCAGAGGCTTAATTAGAGTGGCTCAGAGCAGCGCTTTAATTAGTGGAGCAGTGCTTTAATAAGCAGAGCGGCGCTTTAATTAGAGTGGCTCCCAGTGTAACACATTGGGATACATTCCAAGACCTTGACTGTACTGACCCCCAGACTCATTTCTACCACTTTTACAAGACAATTTTGATACTTACCAACAGCAGACAGTACACACAAGCACAGGGTGGTGTTGAATGTTTAGTTGGTGTAAAGAGTGGGAGGTGAAGGCTTCACTGATGGACCAGGAAGAGGGGTAGGACATAAGGTAGTGGGATAGTTGGAATCCATAATGGGGATGGGCAACTACAGAAACACGTCGCAGACAATGAGTGAGGAGTACAGATGAATACAGGAGACTATAGCTTGGTGCATATCACTCCCACAATGCACCGCACAAAGCAGCTGACTTTGGGCTTCCACCACACTGATGGCATAAGAGTGAATTTACATCGCATATAACAAATTTTTGGTATAAAAAGGGTCATCGCATAAGAGTGAATTCGCACATGCAGAAGCTGCATAAAGTGAGGGAAACCTGTACACAAGATGCAAGAGGCTGCTGAAGCACAGTAATTGCCACACTCCAGATTTGATTAATCAAGTGCTCCAATGCACTGTAATTATAGGACATCGAAGCAAATAAAATAGCTATATAAAAGATTTCTTTAAGGATGGGGTGATTTCATTGCCATTATAGTTTCATAGTTTCTAGGGTCAGAAGGGACCTGAG